ATCATATTTTAATTCTGTCAGTTGAAAAAACAGATACTCATCACATAAATTTATACAAAATAGCACGAAAACCTACTTAATAAGAATATTTTAGTGCTGATTTCTGATGAATTTTGATGGGAGGTATTTACAGGTGGATTTGGTGGGCGGGTACTACGACGGGGGAGATAATGTGAAGTTTGGATTGCCGATGGCCTTCACCGTGACAATGCTGGCGTGGGGTGTTATTGAGTTCGGCGATAGGATGGCGGGGGAGTTGGGCCATGCGGTGGCGGCGGTGCGGTGGGGAAGTGATTATCTGCTCAAGGCTACATCTGCTTCTCCCAACGCGCTTTATGTGCAGGTACGTCAAATTATTCATGGATATCAGTCCCCTCGTGACTGCTCAGTCAGCGGCTGAGAGGCCCGTGGAGCTTTTCGTCCTGTTTCGAATATAAATTAATAAATATTTATTTTTAGAGATTTTACGTATAACATGCCATATAAGTCATTTCTATTACATTATCTAATATATAGCTTTAATAAGAATTTCTTATTAAAATTCTCTGGGCCCGTTTGGGGTAGCTTATAAGTGCGGACGGCATTTTCAAAATGCTATCGTACTATTTGATTTGCGCGTTTCATCAGCTTATCCGAAACTGCGTTTGAGTTTTTATACTAAATAGAGGCCGCGGGTCGACCCCTGCGGTCCGCCCGCGAGCCGCGCAGCTTATCCTGAAACACCACAAGTTGCTCCAAACGGACCCTAAATTAGCTAGTCCTGTCGTATTTTTTCCCCAATAAACGACTAAAATGGGATCTAATGGTTGTTAATGCACAAATTCTTACATTTAATTCATAATTGTGAGAACATGGTATTTTGGCAAATTTACATACATATCACACAATTTTTATGTATTGACATATCCAACCCCCAAAGTTTGGTATTTACATTTATAAAAAATCCTTGCTGAAACAAACAAAAGTTGTATTCCTCTTTTAAGAAGATAACAGTGGTTGCATATTTGATGTTATATTGAAGATTTGAGTGATAAGCTTATAAATATGAATGTTTAGAGGTTAGATATGTAAATTATTTAAGAGCTGTGCGGTAAGGATGTAATTAAATGCATGCCTCACCGGTTATTACATTCAACTGAACAGCAATGAGCCAATAATCCAGACATTGAATGATCAGAATCAAACACACCAACTTATTCAGATTTAAAAATAAAATCAAAAGAACTTATGTCCCACAAGATCATTGAAGCCAAACATTACATGATTTTTCCTTTTCATGTTTTTTTTTTTTTGCAAATTAAAAAATTTTAGTCTAATATAGGAAACAATTAAGAATTTAATGGAGTTTTAGGGTATGTTTAGGGCAGCTGTAGTTTATTGAATAATCTGTTGATAATCTAATTAAAAATAATCTGCTGATAAATTAGGTGCAATGACTATTACAAATTTTTATTTTTTTGGAAAAGTCAGTCCGCTGCCAGAAAATTCTCACCACACCTAGATAGGTGCGGTGTGAAAACATTTTGAAAACGCATAAGCTGTCAAAACGCAGTTTACCCAAACAGACCAGGTGCGTTTTCAAAACGTCCTCGCACCAAATAAGCTGCCCCAAACGGACCCTTAAGAGATAGGTTTGTAGCGAGTATACTTATAATGTACCGCAGGTGGCTGACCCAAACGCGGATCACCACTGCTGGGAGAGACCCGAAGACATGGACACACCTCGGAACGCCTACAAGGTGACAAATCAGAATCCGGGCTCGGATGTTGCGGCCGAGACAGCGGCGGCGTTGGCCGCGGCTTCCATCATTTTTCAGCGCTCCGATCCTTCTTACTCTTCCAGACTTCTTCAAACTGCTAGAAAAGTAACAAATGAGCTCGACTAATTAAGCACCTGGACTCGTCTCCTTTGTGAATTGCGATCCGATTATCAAAGTAAGAAATGTTTGTTTGGTTTCAGGTGTTTGATTTTGCGGACAGCTTCAGAGGATCATACAGCGACTCCCTTAGTTCGGTGGTGTGTCCATTCTACTGCTCCTACTCTGGATACCATGTAAGGGCTACAAGCAATATTCGCATTTTTATTTTCAATTATCATGCATGACAGCAAAAGGAAATATTATCAATCATGTATAGATTGTTCGGCTCAACGATATCTTATTTAAATGAATCATATAATCATTCATTGATCATAAACTTTTTTTATATTTAAATAAAAATATATATTTATTTGAGATTTACATATAATACAGTTTTAAAAAGGTATTACTCGATTATATTATCAAATTAAGCAAATGAATTCACAAATATATCATGAATTTACATAGTTGATGCATATACTATGAGCCAGATAGCCTTTTCTAAGTATCAAGGTTAAATGGATATTGAATAGTCTAGTATTGAGTGTGTCTATATATTAAATACTTACCACCCATTTTCTATATGTTACATATGTACCAACCAAGTTCTATGTATTCACATATCTAACACCTAATTAGCTTTGATTTTTATTTTTATACCACCCAAATTTTCCATATCACATAAAAACTATCACTGTTTTAGCATCTAGAAAATGAAATAGACCTATTTATGCGTAGGTAAGGTGGGACATTGGAAAAAATTGAAGTTTAGGTGTTTGATATGCAATTACATATGAATTGATTAGCATGGATGTAAATCTTCCGAACATATATCAGGTGTGTTATGTATTAGAATCATGATTTATATGTGAATCACACAAAAAAAAAAAATTGAGCATAAGTAAATGAGAGAGATGAGTGAACAGTAATAAACAATAATTAGTGTGTGTTTATTCACATAATGTATTTCACATTTATAAAGGAGAGTGCAATATGATGATGATACATTTTTACCCCTGCTTACAGAAGGTATACTTAGTATTTAACCTGTATGAGTCCATCACCCATCTATTCTTTGACTCAGTTTGATGAGCTCGATTGGTTTCGGGTCGAAAGGATTGATTCGAATGACTAGGCTTGATCGACATTGAGAGTAGGCTAATATAGTCTGGCTCTCGACCTTTGATAATCAATGGAGAGACTTTCGGGCGTCCCCGATATGATTGGAGATGTTGAGGGATTGGATCTTGTCTCGGGTCAGCTTCTTCGTGGAGGTTTGCTTAGATACATCTTTATCTCATTTCTGATAATGGTTCAGAGTCGGAACATTTGGTCGTCTTTTTGTTCTCCTCGTGGCTTGGTCGGCTTTGGCCTTAACTTTAGCTCGAACAGTTGTATTCTGTCAGATAATTAAATCGGCCTCGCATTCTCTCGTCGTCGTCTTCTACTATGGACCGTTAGGTATCCTTAGAAGCAGCGCCGGCACATTTTTGATATTATGACTGAATAATGTTTAAGAACAGTTGGATAACTCCCCACCTACCCAAAACTCATAAGCTTAATCAAGACCATAAATAATAATAATCGCCACACTTCACATTTCATATAAGATTCTATATAATTTCAGACAATAAATAATGATCTTCTTCAAGCTAAAATAAAACCTTTGAACCAGGATGAGCTTCTTTGGGGAGCAGCATGGCTTCAGCGAGCTTCAGGAAACGGGAATTACATGTCTTACATCCAATCTAACGGCCACGTCTTGGGTGCTGAAGACGATGACTACTCCTTCAGCTGGGACGATAAGCGAGTTGGCACCAAAGTTCTGCTCTCTAAGGTCCTTGAATAGCTAGCTTGATTATAAATTCTCTAAAAGTTCATTAATTAATTAATTAATTGATTATTATGCATATAATTAGATATATACATATGGCATCCGCAGGCCTTCCTGGAAGAGAAAACTGAAGAGCTGCAGCTTTACAAGGTCCACGCAGACAACTATATTTGCTCCCTAGTGCCGGGATCAAGTAGCTTCCAAGCTCAATACACCCCAGGTACATTTCTTATGAAGTATAGCTAGAGAAAGGTTGAAAATTGAATTTCCATAAAGCTTTTGCATGTTTTCATAATTTTTATTTTACAAGTTGTATGGAAGTATGGTTTCTTTCAAAATTTCCATTATATTTTTAGCAATTGATGATAAGAACACATTTTGAAGCTTTCCCGAGTCAAATTGTGTCATCAATCAAGACAAGTGAGAAGGCAGAACCAATTTTTTAAAAATAATTTTGTTCTTAGTCTGGCTGAATTTCCTTTAAGCTTGTACCGAGGAAAAACAGAAATTACAATAAATAATTATATAATCTAATACCAATAAATTGTTCAGCTCCCTGATTGCTCCACACACCTTCAACAAACACTTCTCTATAGATTAGCTTGGGCACCCACGAATTTAATTATATAATCTAATAGCACTATCTCCTAATTTTAACTTGCAGGGGGTCTCCTCTACAAAGAAACAGGGAGCAATCTACAATACGTAACGTCCACTGCCTTCCTTCTCCTCACATACTCCAAGTACCTCAACGCCGCCGGGGGATACATCAACTGCGGCTCCGCAACAGTCTCTGCTTCAACCCTCATCTCTCTCGCTAAGAAACAGGTAATCGAAGAGGATAGAATCCAAGTACAATTTTTAAATACAACATCAAAGCTTCAAAATTTTACTTAAAATAATAATCAAAATTTGAACTAGAAAAATCCGATTCAATTGCGTACCAGGTGGATTACATACTGGGCGAGAACCCTGCAGAGATATCCTACATGGTGGGTTTCGGCAACAAATACCCGCTTCGCGTCCACCATCGCGGATCCTCCATCCCTTCCAAGCACGAACACCCGAGCCCTATCTCTTGCAACGATGGATTCCAGTATTTCTACTCTAACGCTCCGAATCCGAATGTCCTGATTGGAGCTATCGTGGGTGGCCCGGATAGCAGAGATGGGTTCGCCGACGACCGGAGCAACTATCAGCAGTCGGAGCCAGCCACATATATCAATGCGCCCATGGTTGGCGCTCTGGCGTTCTTCGCCAGCTACAGCCAAGCTTGAATCGTTGCTCGCTTTGTTTCTTGATGCAGAAAGGAAAATGGATGCAGGGTGTGGCGTTAACTAGGAGCCCCCCAGCATCCTCCTAAGGAATTTATGTAGTAAGAACTAAGGGAGTACGGTTATGTATGATGTTCAGGGAATTTATAAAATTAATTATTAAATATTAGCTAATTCTGTAAATATCAATATTTTGAGTGCTCTTAAAAAAGAAAAACATTTATGCCATCATTCGTGATTAAAACAACTCCAGGGCATAAAAAGCCTATTTAAAACATTACTACATATAATTAACAAGATTTTCTCATTAAGGGGAACATATTATGCCAAGAAATATATATA